CATTATTGCCTAATTCACCTCCATTTTCCTACTTCTCTTTGGTTCCTGCTTTCCTTCTGTCGATCTTTAGTCATTTGCTTCTTTCTCTCTTTTTATTTTCTCCCTCCTTATTCATTATTGCCTCATTCTTTTCCTTTTCTTTTCCTCCTTTTCTTTTTTGCACGGTTTCCCCACCACTTTCTTTAGTCATTTCCTTCCTTTTTTTCTGCATTAATCTTTCTTTTGTTCTTTCTTTCGATTTTTCGTTCTCTCCTTTCTTTCTTATATTTTTATTTTCTGTTATTCTTTTTTTTGTATTTTTTTCTTCTTTCTTTCCTTTCCTTCTTTCTTTCTTTTTAATTTTCGCTTGATTTTTTATTCGTTTTCTTTCATTCTTTTAATTTTTCTTTCTTTTCGTTTATACATTTTCTTTCCTTCTCTATTCTCTCATTTAATTTTCTTTTTCTCCATTCTTTCTTGTTTCACTCGTTCTCTCTTTGTTACTTTTCATTGTTGCGTTGTTTGGTTCTTTCTTTCTTTCTTTCTTTCTTTCTTTCTTTTTCTTTCTTTCTTTCGAGTTATGTCTTTTGCTTTTTTTTTCTTTCTTCTCTTCCGTCTTTGTTTTGCTTTTTGCGCATTTTCTTTTATTCATTTCTTCTCTTCCTCTTTTCTTTTCCTTTTCTATCTTTCCTTTCTTCTATCATGGATTATGTTTTGCCTTTTCCTCCCTTTCTTCCATTTTCTTCTCCTTCTTTTTCTTTCTTTCTATGTTTCCTCTCATTCTAAAATCTATTTTATTTTCTTTTCTTTCTTTCTTTCTTTCTTTCTTTCGATTACTCTCATTTCCTTACTCTTTCAGTAATATTGTTTATTTTTCTTTTTTCTTTTCACAAGTTCTTTCATTGTCTTTCTCTTTTATTTTCTTTCTTTCTTTCTTTCTTTCTTTCTTTCTTTCTTTCTTTCTTACCCATATTGTCTAAATCTTCATTTTCCCCTTCTTTCTTTCTTTCTTTCTTTCTTTCTTTCTTTCTTTCCATTACTCTGTTTTTTTTACTGTCACTAATGTTGTTTATCTTACTTTTTTATTTTCAAAACTTCTTTCTTTGTTTTTGTCTTTCTTCCTCTCTTTCTTTTTTTTCTTTCTTTCTTTCCAACATTTCCAATGTTGATCTTCACTTCTCTTCTTTCTTTCTTTCTTTCTTTCTTTCTTTCTTTCTTTCTTTCTTTTTAACATATACTGTTGATTTTCCCATATTGTCTGTCTTTCTTTTCTTTCTTTTCTTTTTCTTTCTTTTTCTTTCTTTCTTTTTAACATATAATGTTGATGTTCCCATATTGTCTTTCTTTTTTCTTTCTTTCTTTCTTTCTTTTTCTTTCTTTTTTTTTTTAACATATACTGTTGATTTTCCCATATTGTCTGTCTTTTCTTTCTTTCTTTTTTCTTTTCTTTTTTTAACATATAATGTTGACGTTCCCATATTTCTTTATTTTCTTTCTTTCTTTCTTTCTTTTTAACATATACTGTTGATTTTCCCATATTGTCTGTCTTTCTTTCTTTCTTTCTTTCTTTCTTTTTTTCTTTCTTTTTAACATATAATGTTGATTTTCCCATATTGTCTGTCTTTCTTTCTTTCTTTCTTTCTTTCTTTCTTTCTTTCTTTCTTTTTAACATATACTGTTGATTTTCCCATATTGTCTGTCTTTCTTTCTTTCTTTCTTTCTTTCTTTCTTTCTTTCTTTTTAACATATAATTTTGATGTTCCCATATTGTCTTTCTTTCTTTCTTTCTTTCTTTCTTTTTAACATATACTGTTGATTTTCCCATATTGTCTGTCTTTCTTTCTTTTCAAATTTTTTCTTTCTTTCTTTCTTTCTTTCTTTCTTTTTAACATATAATGTTGATTTTCCCATATTGTCTTTCTTTCTTTCTTTCTTTCTTTCTTTCTTTTTAACATATAATGTTGATGTTCCCATATTGTCTGTCTTTCTTTCTTTCTTTTTAACATATAATGTTGATGTTCCCATATTGTCTGTCTTTCTTTCTTTCTTTCTTTCTTTCTAACATATATTTTATTGATCTTCACTTCCCTTCTTTCTTTCTTTTTTTCGTTCTTTTCTTCTTTCTTTCCAGCTGTCAGATTTTTCCATATGCTTTTCCTGATGTTTTTTTTTGCATTCGCTCCCAAATAATTTGTCAATTATGTAGTTGTATTCTTCTTCTTCTTGTTTTTCTTATTTTTCTTCTTCTTTTGTTATTTCGACGCCTCTTACGAAGCAAGCGCGAGTGTAGCTAATGTTCAATTCCACATCCAATCTCTATCAAATGCGAAAAAGTCACTGCGACCAAACCAGCTCCTTTGAAATAGAAACGCTGCCGACAAGCCGAAAACCAGCAGTCGGCACATCTTAAGCATTTCCCAGTGGAACAATCCTCCGCGTTTTTACGTTTATTTATTAATTTAGACTTCGTTAGAGATTCAGAGAAATCAATGCCGAATCATGGGCGATACGCCAAAAACACCTTCAGAGGCGTGATAGGAATGAACCCTTTCAAATCAACTGAAGTCACTAATTAAGTCGCTGTTTTCCCTCTTTTCAAGGATATATCAACACTATGCTTCAGTTATATTTTTTGCTTCTTAAGGATTAATATTGTGTTGATAAATAATACCTCCATCATTATCGCTGCTTACTGATCTGCTTATTAAATATATTTTCGAAACGAGGCTTCCTTCCATAGTAGCTTCTCTTAAGAATGAAATGTTCTGTAGAACGAAACACTACTTTACTTAGTAGTAATTGCTAAGTACGTTATCTTGTTAAAAATGATCAGTAACAGACGCCAAATGATGATGTTTTTACCATACTTAGCTTTGTTCCTTGCAAAGCTACAATTGTTTAACACTCAGTAAGAAATACAATTATATATACTGGGTTTAAAAGTAAAAAATGTCCACATCCTGTAACATTATAATTGTCCATCCTACAAAAAGTTTAATACCTAAAAAACACCCAACTAACTTCTTTTTTCCAGGTTTTCAGATAAGACGGTTAGCTATATTGAAACCATTTTTCGTAAGAATCATTGAAAAACCCTTTCAGTTGTTCAGATAGAAAGAAAACAGGTCCATATTGTTTTGTGTCAGCCCCAACTGAGCAATAGTGAGAGAAAAATGTTACCAATATTCATACTCTGGCTTCCATATTCAAAGTCCATTCAAGAAACATCAAGAGAATAGTGAATAAGTTTTAAAAAGAGGGTACAGTAGAGAAGAAAACTGAACCAGGAGGTCACAACAGGAACAGGATCAATTAAAAAAGGTCCAACTCAATCCATAAGACATTTGGTACGTGAGAGGAATTTCAGCTATGACAGTCCAAAGAGAAATGAAAAAAAAAAGACTTGAAAATGAAATCGTACGTGAAACCTGTGAGGTAGCTTGTTACCCAAGGACAGGATGTTAGAAGGCTAGAGAGGGCGAAGATCACCTTGAATAAGTGAGATAATGACCCTTGAAGAATATATATATATATATATATATATATATTAAATTTATTTGAATGGTTTATGAGCTTTCGATCCTTAGCTATGATTGATTAATGATTAACATAACATTTTATGATCGATTTCATTACGATTCATCTATTAAGTTTGGAGAGTAATTGTAAAATGTTATTGCTCAAAGTAGAGCCCAATAGTGTTATAAAAACCTCGGAGAATATTTAATGAATTCTAAGGTCCAGAGCTTAATCTAACAATTGGACAATTGTACTGTAACACGGGGTATATATATATATATATATATATATATATATATATATATATATATATATAAAGTGCACATAAGTCAACAGAGGCGACAGTCTGTTTCCTGCTATATGCAATCGCCAGGCCTGGCGATTGCATATAAAACAGACTGTCGCCTCTATGTTGACTTTTATGTTCACTTTTATATTTACACACGCTCTATCTCTGATATTGAGCATTTTATCCCATAAATATAGCACACCTTAAGACTATATTTCTTTATATATATATATATATATATATGTGTGTGTGTGTGTGTGTGTGTGTGTGTATTTATGTATAATTAATATATTACAATGAAAGTTTATACATAGTTAAGTACATATATATATATATATAAGGTACAAAAATCACTCCATGCAGTCACCACTTGCTTCAGCCGGGACCGGAACCGGAAGCAGGCCTTGGTGAAGGAGTCCCTCTCCATGTTGGCCAAGGTGTCCCTGATGGCTGCCTTGAGGCTGGCTTGCTGTTCATTTCTCTCTCCAAGAGGCCCCACACGAAATAGTCGGAAGGATAGCAATCAGGCGAGGAGGAAGATTTCCTAAATCAAGTGACCAGTGGTATGGTGAGTAAGTGGTGCCTCTTGAGCACATAAGATTCATAACTCAACTCCCCCTTGGCAATACGCTCGATTGTTCGCCCGTTGGTGCCAATTTCCTTGGCGATTTTTCTCATGGTTTTGCTGGTGGTTCTCCTTGACAACCACGGGAAGATCAGCGACGAACTCGGGCGTCTAGGTGGCGACAGAGCGCTTCTTATGAGTCTTGCATTGTGGTTTGAAATTGTCCTTGTCGTCTGAGGCTCAATATGACTTTGCATGGTCGCAGACCAGGATTTTAGGATATTTATACCATCCAATGATTTACTTGGCTTTGTGGCTGGCATGAAGGCTCTCCCCAACAGTGGCTTGGCGATCCTATTCTGAAGGCATATTGATTACAAAACATCTCGTATGTTTTAGCCTCGAGGTTAAGTTTTATGTGTTCGTTGAGAACATCCCCGCGGGAGTCTAATCCACGGTGTAGCAGTTTGGGAGAAAAAGCTGTCTTAGAAGTGAAGGTCTGAACTGGTGGAACTAAACAATGGAGCGCTCATCTGAACATTTCCCATGGAAATAGAAATAGAATAGGGATAATCCGCAGATTACAGACAGCCTGCCGTTTGTTTTATTGTGTGCAAGTCGGTAGATTTTTCATTTCACCTCGAGCAAGGAAATAAAGGTATATTTTTCATTTCACCTCGAGCAAGGAAATAAAGCCACTAAGACGCAAGCGTTACTGAGCGTTAGAGAATATGAATAAAAAAAGACTATCAATGAGAGAGAATAAGAAATTAAATAAAAGATAGAAAATAAAAGAACAAGAATTAAGAATACAGAAGATAACGATTGGCATTGCATTTAAACTTTTGAAGATCAAAGTTGACTGGGGAGCAAAAAGCCAGAAAAGAGTTCCACTAGCGAAGAAGAAACTGTCAGCATAGAACTTGCGGTTATATCTAACCTTTTCACTTGTAAAATGATGGGACCCTACCGCTAATCTAGCACCGCGCTTGAATTCA